TGGACTGAAGCTGCCACAAACTGTGAGCTAAATAACCTTTCCTTCCTTAATTTTGGGTGTCACATGTCTCGGTATTTTGTCCCAGCAATGAGAGAAAAGTATCTGAGTCAGTATGCAAAGTACATTAATTACACATCGAACACTTGTGTGTCTGTCAGCTAGCTTAAGATATTGGGAGTCTGTGAGGATCCCTTTCTAATCCTGGCCTTCCTCTCCCTCTCTTTATACCAAGAGTAACCACTGTCTTCCATTTTCTGTGCTTTGTTTATTTATTTATTTGGTATAGGGTCTTGGTACACAGCTGAGACTCCTGTCTCCGCCTCCCCAGTGCTGGGATTACAGGTGTTTGCTATCATGCCCGGTTTTGGTGGCTGGCTCAGTGTGAGACCGGCATGGCATGCGGTACCAGAGGTTGAACCTGGGTCCTTGCGCTTGCCAGCGAGACACTTAGACTGCTGAGCTATCTCCCTGGCCCTATCTTTGTTAATGAGACACCATGACTAAAGTTGCACAGAACCTTTGTGTTACCTTGTGGTGTTCGAGCCCTAATCACTAGGGTGCCGTGTGCCCGGCTTCGTGTCCTTAGGCACACCTCTGGTTACTGTTTCACCTCTCTTTCTTTCTGCTCCTCTGTCCTCAAGGCCCTGCTTGTGTCTTCTCTTCTGGGTATCAAGCTGACACTTCCATCCCAGCACCCCTATTGCACTGCACTTATGTGTACAGTTGTTCTTTGATTAAAATATCTTAATATTTTAAACACAATAAAACAATAATGACTGATTGAGTTGTCTCTTATTTCCTTTATTATTCCACTTTTTTTTTTAACCTCACCATTTTTTAACCTGCTTTAGCCTTATCTTTGTTGTAGAGACTTAATCTTGCTATTCTGTTATGTGACAGACAGGACAGTGGGCAACAGCCACTGTCATGAGAAAAGTTTTTTACTTGGAATCATTTGTTCTCTGACATCTGGGCTCTCTGAGCTGATGAGACCTTGCAGTGTTGATGAGCAGTCATGAGGTTTTGCCTCCAGCATCACCATGGAAGGATGTGGGGGCAGTGGAGCCCAAGCTGAAAGAGTTGGTCTGTAGTTAGTAACGATACTGGTTGTGAAGGTAAATTTAATTAGTTGCAATATTTTAACCGAAAGTTACTGAGTGCCTGTTTTCATTGTGATGATCCCACGTGTACTCCAGACTCAATGGTTTTGCTCATGAAGGGGTCTCCAGTACCTAGTGAATGTGGCAGTTGTTTACATCACCTTTAGTACAATGTGTATGTGTTGCATTAGAGGTAGGTACACGCTGAGATGGACGCACAGAAGGGCCCATTTGACAGACTGAATACTCACCAGGGCGGCGTAGTTCCTAAAGGCTGTGTTGGGGACACATCTTGAAGGGTAAGTGAGGGTTTAGGAGTGGACAAGGACTTTACACTCTTGGATGTGGATAATTCATGAAAGTGGAATTAGTCTAGGCCCAGTATAGCTCTAGTGAAGGGTAATGCCAGTAAGGGCAGGGCTTTATGTCTCTGATATTAGAGCCCCGTGAGACCTAGAAGATCTGACTTAACAGTGCCTTAAGCAGCTTGCTGTCTACCAGACAGTCTGGCATAGCAATTAAGAGTAAGCTCTGCAATTAGGCTGTGTAGATTTAGATTTCAGCTCTTTACCCAATTAGCGTGGAGAACATGAACAAGTGCTTAACGCGTATGGGCTTGGCATAGAAGTATTTACTTCATAGAAATAAACATTGCATGAGATAAAATATATTAAGTTTTGCTGAGAACCTCTGGCACACAATATTCAATAAAGATGTGTTTGTTTTGTTTTCAATACTGAGCATTGAACCCAGAGAGCACTAAGCTACATCCTCAGGGTTGTTTATTTATTTTTATTTTTACTTTGAGACAGGTTCTCACCGGCCTAACCCCTGTGGTTCTCCTGCCTTAGCCTCTTGAGTATTAATAAAATTTTGGTTGTTATTAAAGTTTATTATTGTTAATTTTGACTGTCCATATCGGCCTAGAGCAGGAACTCCTTGTGGGCCAAGCGCAAAACTGGCTCAATGTTTGATTTGTAAATAAAGATTTATTGGAACATAGATGTGCCCATTGACAAAGTCTGCTTTTAGATGCCACAAGTGTTGAGTTTAGTAACTGTGGGAATGCGTGTTGGCCTGAAAAGTCTAAATGTGACACTTTATAGAAGACACTTACCATGTATTATAAGGCCTTTGTGGAAGAAATTTAGAGTCTGAGAGGATAAAATCAAATTCTTTAGCTCTCAAGATCTCCATTAGTTGCTTCCAAACCTGTTTTTTCCATTCTTAACTAGCAGATTGGTCAGCAGTTTTCTCTCCCTTCTGTTTGCCTTATGAGCTGCTCTCTGCTGCTCGGTTGTGATTCCTGACTGTTTTTAGATGCTCTTCTGTCTCCCATGAAGGGGCAGCAGGAGGACCAGGATGAGAGGATGAGGGTCAGGACCTGTGAGGCATTCACTTGGCTACAAAAGCTTATGCCCCTGTTCCCAATTTTGTAATCAAGATAAATTTGTTAATGCAGTATTTTAAAAGTAGCAGTTAGTGTAAAAGATCTATGGACAACAAAATATAAAATTTCCTTTCTGGAAAATTTGGTAATGTTATTTTTAAAAAGTGTGGTTTTATTGAATTACAATTGGCCAATTAAAATTTATATATTTAAAGTATACTTTATAGTTTCTGGATATAAGTGTACCTTGAGTAGTGATTCCCACAATTAAACTAATTCACTTATTCATCATCTGACATAATTAGCATTTTTGTATGTGTGTGTGTGGTGAGAACAGTTAAGATCAGCTCTCAGCAAATTTCAATTACTCAGTATGTAGTTATTAACTATAGTTACCATGCTGTACCCTAGAACTCCAAACTGAAAATTTCTCCTTATGGCCAGTGTTGCCCTCTCCTCCTACTGCAAGCTTCGGACAAGCACCATTTTATGCTGTCTCTCTAAATTTGACTTTCGTAGATTCAATACTCAAATGATAAACCATCAGAATTTTAAATAAATACAGAGTCAGTATTACTGGCGTTTCTCTTCTTGGATTCTGACATGGCTCTGCGTAGCACTGGGTAGCAGAGAACATGTGGCTCTTACTTAAGCCATTGTCAATCCACACTCCCACTTTTTTTTTTTTTTTTTTTTTTTTTGGCGGAACCAGGGATTGAACTCAGACCCTTGCACTTGCCAGAGAAACGCTTACTCCACTGAGCCATTTCCCCGGCCCCACTCCCACATTCTTGCATGTGTGTGAGGGTAGAGTTTTTTTGATTTTGCTTTTGTTTGCAGTACTAGGTATTGAATCCAGGGCTTTTGTAGTGACCTATATTCCCAGATCTTTTAAACTTTTTTAGTTTTGAGACAGGGTCTTGCTAAGATGCTGAAGCAGGGCTTGAATTTGTGGTCTTCCTGCCTTCACCTCCCGAAGTGCTGGATTATAGGCGTGATTCAGAGTGACCTGCTGGCTGACTCCATGTATAACATCTACTCAGTCCACGTCAGCACTACTTTCATAAAGTATATGGGGTGACAACATATATATGTAGGAATGTTTAAATTTAAAAAGTGTACTAAATTAGAAGACCTATTATCATTAATCCCCTCAAAATCTTATCCCCACTTCAAACACCCTTATCTCATGGTTCTTGCCACTTTTTAAATTTTTTTCTGAGACAGCCTCTTGCTCTGTAGTCTAGGCTGGCCTCACACTGGTGGCAGTCCTCCTGCCTCAGCCTCCTGAGTGCTGGGATTAGAGGTGTGTGTCACCATGTCTGGCTACTTGTCACTTTCTGACACAGCTGTGTAAGTCCGCTTGCACGAGTGTCTTTGTGAGGTATACTGTAGTGAATGCTGCTGCTGAGTGCCATCCAAGGGAAAGGCAGGCCCAGAGCAGCATCACAGTGTGTCCTCTGCCACTGTGTTTACCGGGTGGCTGTGCTATCGTAGGACTTCTGACTCTTCTCCAAAGTCAAAATGACCATGAATGGTTCATGTTTTGAGTGAATTCAGGGAATCAAGGCAGCTGTGACAGGGTGAGTGAAGACACGACAGGGGACTTCCAGGGCTGCTTCAGAACTTGGCAAGCATGACGATCACCGAGTTCAAAGTCGGGGGAGTATTGTCAGAGTGGTTAATGGCAATGAGTCATGTAGTGTAAAAAATTTAGAAAACAAACAATGTAAATAATCACCTAATGTTTCAATTGCATTGTGTAGCTTATAATAAAAATCTGTGTATCATCTGATATAAAATGACAGGATGAAAAATATTTCTTTAAATTTCAAATAGCTTATTTGAAATGGTTCGCTGAGAGCAGTGAATCATTGGAATAGCAGCATTAGATAACTCATGTTGTTTATTATGAAATCTGAAAGGGTCACTTGTCACTGGCATACATTTTTAAAAAATGTATTTAGTACAGGGTCTTGCTACACAAATCGGACTTATAGTGATCCTCCTGTTTGCAGCCTCCCAAGTGCTGGGATAACAGGCACGTGCCACCAGGCCCAGTCTGTAGGTCGCCTGTTTTGTATAAGGTGCTGCTAAGAAAGGCCAGAGAGTGATATTAATTGAATTTTTATGTTTTCTGATAAACATTATCAAGGCAAATTTTTTTGGATACTGGCTTTTGAACTTACTTTGACATTTCTTCACAGTGCTGCAAATACTAATTTGTTGATAGGTTAAAAAACGGGTCTAATTTGTTTTAGTGAAGAAGGTTTGAAAATCATCTGTCGAATTATATTAAATCAGACAGAGTCCTCTCTCCGCAGAATAGGCGTGGCAGAACGGACAAGATCACCTTTCCGTTGCTCAGATGTAATGTTGAGATGGACTTTATTTGATGTTTCCATAAAGTAAATTAGTTATTCTAGCTGGCTATCACTGTGCTAAAGAGATGAAATGTAATATTGAACTTGATGCTATTTTGTTCTCTAAACCCTGTGAAATGTTTCTAGGTGTATAGTGTTGACTGGAGCCAAACCAGAGGTGAGCAGCTTGTGGTGTCTGGCTCCTGGGACCAGACGGCCAAAGTGGTATGTCCGCGTTCCTGTAACTTGGCAATAACTCTTCTTTCCTCCAGAGTGTCTATTGCGCTTTTTTTTCCCCCAAAGTACCCTTCTGTCGCTTTAAGACTGAACAGTTTATTTCTCTAAATAATGTATTAATTAAAACACTAATTTGAATTTAACATTTTCTAGTCTTGGGGCTATGAACTAAAAATTAGCTTAGCTTTGGTTATTTTTGGCCCCTTAAATACCATCTTACTTTAAAAATAGATCCTAAAGTAGGTATGTCTATATGGTATATTATAGTATATGTAAGAGTACGTACTTGAACTTACCTCTGGTAATTGATCTGTTCATTTATTTGTAGTGGGATCCAACTGTTGGAAAGTCTCTGAGCACCTTTAGAGGCCATGAGAGTGTCATTTATAGCACAATCTGGTCTCCCCATATCCCTGGTTGTTTTGCTTCAACCTCAGGTAAATAATTCTGATTACAAAATACTGAAGAGTGCTTTGTTTCTTCCATTAGGTGGCACTGTGTACCCTAGATTCAGGGAAGATGAGCGTGTGTTCTGCTGTGTTTGTGCTCCTAAGACCTTTTTATACTTTACCCAACTACTTGACAAGAATTAGCTGAGGCCCAGATTACTTTTGTTCCATGATTCTAACTCCTACAAAATGACTCCTAGTTTCTTGGTAAGGACAGATCTGTGGGTGGTAATAGCATAACGAAGAAAAGAAATACATTTGAAAGAGAAAGTCTTTTTGGTTTAGAAGAGCCTTGAACCTCTGAAGCGCACATGTGGGCCTGTCAGTGAGTGGGCTGACTTTGGAGCTGGGAAGGATGGCTTGTGAATAAACACTGTGTCATTGGCTAAAGCCATCACAGTAAATCCGAGTAGCCGGGACAAACCAAGCAGAAGAAACTATTTGTTATTTTATTTATTTTAAAAATAAAAGACAATTTATTTTAAGGTGGAAGAAGGGTGAAAAGACAGATAGCTACTCTGGGCAAGAAGGGAGAATTTGAAAGCAGCTTGCTGCAAAACTTTAGAAAACTTTAGAACAGAGCACAAGTGGGCCAGCTAATGCCCTACACTAAAATGGCTGACGGTTTCTGTAAGTAGTCTGACTGGAAGACCACCATGTCTGTTCACTTACATATTATCTATGGCTGCCTTCCCATGCCAGTGGCAAATTCAGTAGCTGTAACAGAGAACTACTGGCTCTCAAAGTCAAAAGTATTTACTGTCTAGCCCTTTGTAGAGCATGTGTTGCTAATCCATGCTAGAGGACCATAAAAGGAGATAAAAAATTGGAAGCTCTTTTGCACAGGTACTTATTTAAAGGAGGAGAAAAAGGAGGAGGAGGTAGTGTGTTTCTAGTATTGTGTTCTCATTTAACTCTCCAGTATTCAAAGACAGGTAGTAAGTAGGATAAGTGCTCCTTTTTTGCTAATACACTGTGTCAGTACTGTGAGTTGTTGACTTCTGCTGAGTGGTCTCCACAGCAGATGTCCTATTATAGCAACCCTTTTCAATACTCCATTTTCTTATTTTTATTTCTAAGAATTAAAGATGATCAAATTTATCCAAACTCTGGAGGTATTATTTTGTTGGTTAAAAATACTCAAATGGAAATTTTCAGGTAAATTGTATACAGATATATCCATTTAGATTGTGGAATTTTATGAGATACTTATTGTGGATTATGATATCTTTGTATGGAGGCATAGTTAATTTAAAAAATGTTTTGACTGTAACAAAAATTGATGGCTTATATTCTAGAAAGGAAACTAACACTACTACTTTTAAAAAATTTCTGCGTTACCTAAGTCTGTTTATTTGTCTATAATCTGAACTAAATCTTTTCTAAAATATTGTCTTTGGGGATGAGGCCAGTTAAAATTTTTTCTAGTCACATTTCTTTTTCTAAGGATGACATTTTACTTTGGTCTTTTATCTTTCTGTGACCCTGCTAATCACAAGGCAGTGCATATACTAAGTGATAGCAATACTAATATACTTAATTTGACCTGTGTAAATAACTTGAGTTAATCAATTTTTCTACGTTTAATTTAATGAAAATTAAATTATAAGTTTCATAGTTTGTTGCGAATTAGAATCGTATGATGATAGTTTAATAGCTATAATTTTACCACTTTATATTTTTACCATTGTTTGTGGAAATTGAATGAAAATTCTTATAAGGATGTAAATTACATTGACAGAAAGAAATTTTTTTTAGAGCAAAGGATATCATTTGGCCTTTTATCCTTTACTGTAGTTTCTTTTTTTTTTCTTTTTTTTGGTGGAACCAGGGATTGAATTCAGGCCCTTGCACTTGCTGGGCAAGTGCTTATTCTACTGAGCCATCTCCCCAGCCTCCCACTTTACTGTAGTTTCAAAGGGGTCACGAGACCCTGGATGAAATGGGTACTTCAAGTAGACCCACCTTCCAAGAGGACAGAAGCACACTTCCCTTCCGGTGAGACTGTGAAGGCTGCCTGTCTGCTGTGTGCTCCAGAAGGCAGCATTCGCAGTGAATTAAGTTTAATAATAAGTATAATTTTACATATTTGAAAAAATACTGGTAAGTAAAATGCCTTAAACTACTGATAGATTTTTAAACATTCTGTCATTTTTCTGTTGCATGTATGTTTGTTTTTATTATAATTTAAATGATTTAATGTGTAAAACTGCTTTCATTTCTGTTTAGGGGAGCTGTTGGGGGTAGAGTCCAGGGCCTTTTTTTTGCCTATTAAGCTCTCACTCCAGCCCTCTTACCCCGTCTTTGTTTTTAATCATTGTTCTTTTTATGCTTATGACCAAATATAAGATCTAGTGACAGAATCATGAACTAATATAGCTGCATTTATTTAAACAGGTAGAATTATGTATATTATCTTTTATTTGAGTTGAGTCACATGTACTTTTTCCTTTTACACTGGCCTTTGTGTGGCATTGTATATAAAATATTGACTCTGGATAATGCATATGGAATATTTAGTGTATAAGACTGGGTATAAAAAGATTAAGTATAGAGTTAGCAGTATAATTACAACACTTAATTTTTTACACTGTCAGTATAGTGTGCATGGGTAGTATATAAAATTACTTTATCAAACAAAATGAACATTTGCTTTCAGAGAAGAAATCGTTTGTTTAGTTACATTATTTTCTTGTGTTATAAATATTGGTCCTATCAGCTTTGATTAAGAGTAAAAAATTTGAACAAAACTGCATTAAAGAACATCATTTATTTGCTCATATAGTTGAAAAGTCTAGAATTAGATCTGGCTTTCAAGGTGTGGCTGGGTGTAGGGCTCTGTCTTCTGTTGTGTTGGTTTCAGTACCGGATACCTTATGGTGGCAAGATGGCAGTAGCTACAGCCCCTATTAACTATCTAGTCTGTCCAATAGGAAAAATCTAAGAGATTGCCCCTCTAATTTCCACAAAAACTGTTCTCTCCATTGGTTTTACTGAATCCACGTGGATGAGTCTGAGCTAATTATGCTACCTGAGGAAAAGGGATCTGATGTTTTGATTGACTCAGGCCTAGTTTAGCTGCTGCAGTTGGGAATAGAAAATGGTAGAGGGGTATATCTCAACTGCATGAGTTGAGAGGATGGAAAGAACGAATCCCGCCAACATGGAAGCAAGTATTCAACTAGATTCCAGAAGATTGGGCCTCATTGAGTGGGCTGCATATTTAAGGCCTAAAATAAATCATATTTGATGAATCAGATCAAGCACTGAAACTAAGCCATGAACTATGTTCCTTAAAAGAAGAAAGATTTAAAAAACTTTCCTATGAAACTGGATTCAGTAAAGCCATTGAGAGTTTTTGAACATTTTTTAGAAGGTTGATTAATCAAACATTGGCCATTTTCTTGAAATATTCCTTCCTGGTGATTTTCAAATAGTAGTGTACTTCATAAATTTGAAAAAAAAAAAAAAAGGAAATTTCTTTTTCATTGTGCACAAATATTCAGAGTTGTGGTAGAGTAAGAAGTAAGCTCTAAAACTTGTATTGTGCTTTAGTTATTTCCAAGGAGTCAAGAATGTTTCTTACCAAGTTATATAATCCATCAGTAGGAGACAGACTATTTAGCAGATTTTGTTTGTCTTGTTTCCATATGTATTTTGTTTCTTCCTGTATTTAGGACAGGGTCCACAGCATCTGTAGGGTCTCACTACGTAAATCAGGCTCATGGTGATTCTGTTTTCAGCCTCCCAAGCGCTAGGATTACAGGCGCGCACCACCTTGCCCAGTCTTAATCACTGTCTCAGTGTGCCCCGCAGGCAGGACCAACATGGCATGCTGGGGATCGAACCCCAGCCGCTGCCCTCTGCCTAAGCAGGCGCTTTAGTCCGCTGAGCTATCAGGCCAGCCTTTCATATATTCTTTCACATCGCTCAGTGCATTTCACAGCCAAACATTAAAATATTTTTACTGTTGTTACGTAAAATAGAGGAGTAGCTATCTTATTAGAATTTTGAAAACATACCTAAGTTCCTTTTGTTCATTGAGAGAGACATTGTCTGCTTGTTTGTTAGGTGTTTACTGAATGCTCATCATTTGCTGGGGACTGGCTTTTCAGTGTGGAAGAAGACAGTTTCTGCCCTCCTAGTGCCTGTAACCCAGGGAGAAAGACATGTAAGAAAATGCCAGAAGCTCACAATGACAAGGGCTGGACAGTTCTTTGAAGGAGCAGTACTGCAGCACCATGGTTAGGAATGTGGGCCCTGGGGCCGCACATCAAATCCCTACTCTCTACACTGCTGCGAGACTTGCTCTTTAACCTCTGTTGCTCCATTTGTTTTTGTATCGGAGTGATAATATCCACACCATGGGGTTTTGGCCATGACTGAATTAAGGTACACAGAGGACACTGTGACCCAGAGTGAGGGCTTGCAAAATGCCACCACTTTTTATAACATGAGTGCTCAGAACTCTGAAAACACAACTGTGATCCTTGAGCTTGCCAGGGCTGGCTGATCGGGGACACTTCCCTCAGGAAAGAATAGGTGAGCTGCCAGTTTCTGAACAAGTTAGTGTGAGGAGAGGCGAGGTAGGAGGCAAAGGGGTGGGATGCGGAGAGGCAGCACACTGCTAAGGAGTGTCAGCACGGTCTTCGGGTTGCACACGCGCTGCAGAATGAATAGCGCTGATCTGAACACCAAGTCTGAGAACAAGGCTTACAGTAAGTAGCTTGCTCTAGACTGAATGTGGAATGTACATGTTGCGATAACATGCTGGCCCAGTGATTCAAAAACCTGCCAGTCATCAGAGTCATTGGTCGAACTTAAACAGCAGCAGAACTCTGGACCCATCTTAGTCCTGCTGAAACAACGCCTCTAGGGAAGCATGTTTTTAAAGTACAGCTGAGTCACGTGAGTCACATGATGAGCCTGATTTGAGAAGCACTATGCTAGTCTGTGGAATAGCTCTGTGTGAGATGCCGAATTAGTGTTTTAGTACAGCGGATAGAAAGAATTCCATGTGTGTTTTGGTAGGGATATATTCATCCCTCTTTTGTAAAACCCAGAGTGATTTCAGTGTTAAAATCGAAGAATAAGTAGTTTCTTAGTTTGGGCACTCTTTAGTTTTTTTTCTATTTTGTGAGTTATAGTAGTCTCTGAAAATGACTTGCTTTATCTTCTTGCTTACAGATAAGGTCTTGCTATAAAACATAACATGATCTTTACATAAAAATAATTTGAACTGCAAAGCTTATGGTTGTAGAACCCAATGTTGCTGTAAAGTATTTGGTTTTGATGGTAGCTTTTTTGTTTGTTTGTTTTTTGTTTTGGATGGTAGTTTTTATGATGGAAAATCAAGATGTATTTTTATGTCTAACCTTGCCATGTACATATAGTTAATTATATAACTTCTAACAACATATATTTTAAGATAATACATATATGACAATATAGTATTTAGGCTACTCCAAGAAGTAGTCAACTTAAGGGCTTACAGTACTGTATTTACAAATCTAGAACCAAACTTCTTATTAGTTAAGACCAAGAAGGGAGGACTTTCTAGGTAAATAGATCTAGGTATCATTTCTCTAGCAGGGTTCCTGTAGGACACTCTATTTTGTCTAATGTATAATAGTTGTTCTAGTACAGAATTCATAGTTCTAAATTATATAAGACAGAAAGGAATAATATTCAAACATTTTATATAAAGAAGATTAATATGAAGTAAACTTTCTTTTGAACTGTGAAAACTAAATTACTTCTATTACAGACTCCATATAATTGCATAAGTCATAGCCATGCCTGAATGTGTGGGGTCCAGCCGGTAGTTAAAATAAACTTCATTCTGCTATGGTATAAGAAAGTCATATTACATCTGATAGGCATCTGGCATTTCAATTAAATTATTTAGGCCCAGAAGTACCCTTTTGGCACGCAGTTCACTTCACAGTTTTAGGCTGTTTATACTCATTGTTCTTACCCAACTTCCTCTTGCTGCAGTTTGAAATCAGATATAACAACAGCCAGAACTTCCTATTCTGCTGGTTCTGCCGGTTGCAGGTCTGCAGCTGATAAGAAAAGCTGGTAATTCAGGTGGGCCTGTGGTACTATCAGAGAGCCCTGATAAATGTCTGGCTGACAAGGAAAGGCCAGTTATTTAGAAGATGTGATTTAAAGGGAAAAAAATACAGATGTCCTAATGTCTGAGAGAGTTGAGTGAGTCATTATACCATTTGGCTAAAAGATTTCTCTCTTACCTGGGAACCAGAAAGATGAGGGCAAAGTACCAAACCTGTACAATAGGAATGGCTGTCCAAGAACTGGAATTCTTAGTTCCTGAAGAATAGTCATCACATTTTTGTGTCACTTGAGTTAATTGCAGGAGGGAATGATGTAAGATATAGCTTTTAAAAATTTGTTGCTTAAATGTCATGTTGCAGAACCAAAATACTATGTCAGAGAAATAGAATAACCTTCCATCCAACCTCTGTTGTGTTGTTTAATCTTTTACACATACACAAAACCATGTGTTTCCTTAACTGTGCAACGTGATGAATTTCCAGGGTAGCGAAACAGATGTACCCCAGGACCCCCTCCTGTTCTTCACGCTATTACCTGCCTACTGGCGTCACCTGGCTCCTTTCTAATAGCATAGGTTACCATTGCTGTTTTATACTTTGTGTCCGCTTTCTTTTGCTCAACACTGTATTTGGTGATTGATCCATATCAGTGCTAAAATAACTTAATCTCCTAATACACACTCACTGTGATGTGTTGGTGCTTTGTATTGATTTACATGCCCAGATAGGGTGCTTACGAGGTGAGCTCGAGTTCATTGGCTTTCAGGCAGCGCTCTGTAATCATAGCTGTGGCTCACTTTACAGTTTCAGACCTAGTATTAGATACCGGTTCTTAGCTCTTGAGCATCACTTTAGCATTTCGTGTGTTTTAATGGAAGTCTCCTGCTGAATCAAATGTGCTTCTCTGGGGCTTGGCCTTTTTAAAGATAGCAGATTGGGAAGAATAGCATAAGAGTAAGCATCCCCTTTGCTGGCAAGTGAGAGCATGTGGTTATTGTGACATGAAAGGCATGCTCTGGCAAGAGAAGGAATGATTACCTTTCCCGAGCCACATTCTGGGTTTCTCATCTGGATTAGTCCCTGGCTGGTGACTTGACTGCAGGCTGGCCCTTTCCCCACCATGTGACATGTGGTGCCAGAGGCTCCTGAGTGTTATAACTAGTAAATTCGGTATGCGAGGGATTGACATTTTTTCAGTGATAATTCTGAAAAATCCCAAATAGTTGCCTTTGGACCAACTGGGTGTGATCTGAGTCTGTGATGAGCTGTGGGTCCTTTTTGAATTTCTTGGTAAAGAGGACATATGCTCCTGCTAAAAGGGTGTTGCTGGCAGACCAGACATTAGCCATCATGTTACTTGGCTGTAGACACTGAAGCCGAGGGAAAGTCATGAAGGATCATTGATCAGAGCTGTTTGGGATTCTGAAACAAATCTGGCTGACTGGTGGCTCACCAGAGATAGTGCGTGTTTTTAGGGCCCCTGAAGATATTTGAAGCTCCAACCTGTACCAATTCCGAACTATTTCCATTTGGTACATTCAAACTCATCATTCCTTTCATCCCTACTGTCCTTAGATCCCAAAATATTAGTTACTTTTATCTATCAAAGTGCTTTTCAGCCTTTTATAAAGTACCAGGATGATGTTTTTAAATTAAAAAAGAAAAACCCTTACACAAAGCAGTAGTACATATTTATGATCCATAAAAGTATAACAGAAGTACTGTTACAAAAACACAGACCAAAGCATACCAAACTCATGATTGTGATAGTCTCTCTGCAGGAGGTTGGGGAGAAATCGGCCTGTAAGTATGATAGAAATTTTGACATCGTAGCTTTTAGTGAGATTTGGTTTCTAAAATGGTGATAGCAAAATCTGACCAGGTATTCTCTGTGTGCATAGGTAAAAGAAAGAGAAAAAATTTTCTGTCTAATTATAGAAAAAGTAACATAGAAAAAGAGTAATTTCTCAAGAGTCAGCAAGCATTGACTGGCATTAGGCCCCTGCCAACATAGGAGGCAGCCTAATATAGTTATATAGTGCTGGGAACTGAGACTGTGGATTCTGGTTCTGGTTCTTGTTCCATTGCTTAGTATCCTGGGGTGAGTGATTTCATTTCCATATGCCTCAGTTTCCTCATTTACAGAGTACTATAGCAGTTAGTACTGTTTCGTATAATTATTGTCATGTTTTTATAAAATAATTAATGTGTATAAAATGATTAGAATAGTAGCTTTCACATAGGAAGCACTCAATAAATATTAGCTGTTATTCATGTTATTGTTAGGGGAAACAGGAATGACTTCTAAATATACCACCTCACCCTCCTGAGGAGTTGGGATTATAGGTGGATACCACCATTGCACCTAGAAGTCCTTCATTTTTAGTAGTTCTTAAAATTATGGCTTAAAAAAGATGAAAAAAGGTGTGTGTGGGTATGTGTTGGAGAAAGAGAGAGAGAGAGAGAGAGCCAAAAAATGTATACATAGGAAAGGAAAAACTTGTATAAATATTTTAATAGTACATTTATTGAGATAGAAGTTTTATACGTGTTTCCTTTGGCCTCTATAATTACAAGAGATGCTCTGATTGCTGGCCATGAGTTTCTAGACATTTGTGTGTACAGTGAACTGCTAACGTGTGTATACATTTTTCTGATGGACTCTTTGTATACACATATACAAGTGCATGCACATGCATGCCTGCGCGCACATGCACACACACACCAACACACACACACACACACACACACACACACACACACACTAAAGATGGCAGTATCTTTAATAGTGAAAGTACTTCTACTTGGTTTATTATTATGAGCTCATTAGGTTATTGAGCATCTGCGTGGTTTCTTGGGAAGTCATAGTGTTTTCCTTTTTTACCAGGTGACCAAACTCTGAGAATTTGGGATCTGAAGTCCGCAGGAGTCAGAATTGTGGTTCCAGCACATCAGGCGGAAATTTTGAGTTGTGATTGGTGTAAATACAACGAGGTACATTGCGCGGACCCATTTTGTGCAGCCGGCAATGTTGAAATGTTCAGGATTTTATTTATCTTTGTTTATGTGGACTTTGGTGGTGTTCCTGGCCCATTAAGTTAAATTGAGTCTCTTTCATTTCTAACTAATGATTGTGACTGACCTACATTAGCATTAATTGGATTTAAGTGCTCATGAAACAGGCAAAATAGGAAACAGAAATTCTCGAAAGTTCAGCAGTGCAGCCTTACTTGTTTGTTTTGGGGACCTGTTTTACTGTTTATATAATATCTTTTCTTGATTGCTCTTGACCCTGCCACTTTATCTACTTTTGCTCTAATTTCTTTTTTACTTTGCTAGGCAGGCTGCTGAACTATTTGTTACTTGACTTTTAACTTGACAGGCTTTTTTTTTTTTTTTTTTTTTTCCTGAACCAGGGATTGAACTCAGACCCTTGCACTTGCCAGGGAAGCACTTATTCCACTGAGCCATCTCCCCGGCCCCTTAACTTGACAGTTTTTAAAAATACTTCGTTTTAGCTTCCTTTTTAAGCCTAATTTTCATGCTTCTGTAATTTAGCAGTGTCTGTGTGTAACTTTGCAAACCTTCAGTTAATCATACAAACATATGAATTAGAGATAGGAATGGATTAAGTATGTGTTAAATACTTACATGCTTCAGGTGGTATCTTGAAAGTGAAAGTGAAAACTAGGTAAAATGCGTACCTTACTTTTTAGAATAATTAATGAAAATTAAGATAACACTATATTGGCAAAATTCTTTAAATGAAAATAAACAAAATAAAATACAGACTCAAATAATACTTGATCTAAACAAAAACATCAATGCAAATGACTTTCAATCTCTTCCATCACAAATGAATTTCTGTATAGAAAAATTAAATTTTGGCCTATATGTCTATACTTTGAATTATAAAAAGATCCTGTGAGGTATTTGATTATGGTTGTACAGGGTCTCACTTTGCAGCTTGGACTCATAGTGATCCTCCTGTCTCAGCCTCCCCAGTGCTGGGATTACAGACATGTGCCACCATGCCCAGTCTTGATGGCCAGCTTAGTGTACCCAGGGCCAGGGCTGGCACAGTATGTAGTGCTGGGGATTGAACCCCAGTCCCTCAGTCCCTGTGCTTGCCTAAGCAGGCACTTAGTCTGCTGAGCTATCTTACCAGCCCTAAAAGTTTTGTTTTTAAATCACTGAAATTTTTCCTTAATGCACTTAGTAAAGCCTAACATATTCAGATAATGAGTTGCTGCTCGTGTTGATGTGAGTGTGGACCCAATACTTGGTCTATTCAGCCAGAAACTCAAGGGTCCACCTCAGGTTCTAAATAGCAAAATTTGTAAAACCTGACTATTAGCTATAAAATCAACATTATTTCCATAGATTCTTTGGTCTGATCAAATAGTGTATTAAGATGGGGCCTAGAGAGTTGGGAACAATGATTTAGAAAAATATAAAAATTTAATTTATGCCCTTTGCTTTTTTAAATAGTCCTCCACTAGCAGGCTTCTTTTTCTTGAATGCCTGGTAAGATCTCAGAGCATGTTGAAAATGTTTTAAAAAGAAAGGTGGCCCATTTGTCATATATTTTAATCTCATGTATACTTATTCCTACTGCTAAAGGTAAGTTGAACAAGTCACAGTACTATTTAGGATTATGTCTTTTTTCTCTCTGCAGTATTCCATCAAATACACAAAGCATATTGAGTTTCTTTCCTCTCAAGTTAGATTAATTTTGGTCAATGTTTGTTTTGTTTCCTTTCTATACTTGTCATACAACTTCTCAAGAATGACTTCTCAAATAATTACCAGAAAGTAGATTTTATTTCTAGTTGAAAAGGCTTAGTTTTGCTTAATGACAAAGAGAGCATAGCTTAATGTTCCTCTGAATTGTTCTCAGAATTTGCTAGTGACGGGAGCAGTTGATTGTAGCTTGAGAGGATGGGACTTGAGAAACGTACGACAACCAGTGTTTGAACTTCTTGGTCACACCTATGCTATTAGGAGAGTGAAAGTAAGTTTTTGTCTTTTCTTTTTATTCATACCATAAATATTGAAATTTAAGTATAATCAGTGAAGCATGTATAAAAGGGTGTTTGGTATTTAGAGGTTAGGGTTATTGACTGTGTATGTTTTATAATAATAAATATAAAACATTAGATAAAATATTTGAATAATTATTGAATGAATTAGGACAATGTAGACATTTAGTACTTTAGGTTAAATAGGATGGTTCTTATGCTGTCATCTTCAGTTACTACTCCTAACATTCTTTAACTAGAATAGTCTATTTTTAGTATCATATTTTTTATAATTTTCCATCAATGGAAAGTCTCTTTGCTGTGTTTAAACTGGTGTAGAGGGGTAATTAATTCTTTCTCTTCTTTCGTATGATGACTTACATGAATGTTCCCAAATGTGTCAGGTGGAGAAAGTTATCCACTCTGTAAACAGCAGAGGGTGTCTAACTTTTTTGTGCTACTCTCAAGAAATTTGCCTGGGTTGTGGAGTGATTTAGGTCAGTTTCCTAGCTTTTATTTAGACAGGTCCTCTGAAATCACTGTGGAAAACATTTTATTAATTAAGTCACATCTCCCAGTTATAATTTCCAGTTTTTACTTTAAAGGTGAAAATGTACCTTATTGGTGTTTCAGCAAGACAATTATATTATTCTTATTTTAAAAATTCCTAATTTTTATTTTTATTTATTTTTAAATTTTATTTTTTATTTTGAAGAGTAAAAACAAAAGCAAGAAGAAAAATCAGAAACAAGGATGGAAGCAGGGTAACATACAACAATACGTATGTTACAGATTTTTCGAAATAAAAGTAGCTGATTGACGATGTTGATATATTATCTATTTTATTGTCAAACCTGTTGCTCAAATTAGCAGATAGTTATATAAAATTGGACATATGATTGAATATTACCACTTGCTTTCAAGAAACTTTAAATTTTTGTTAGTCTTTTTTTCTTACCTTTTTAAAAATTTATTTTTTTCATGTCAGATTGATTTCTTTGTTTTTCCATAATTTTATTGAGAAACAAATAGCAATAAGACAGTTTCAAACCAAACTGGTAGGACGGTTTCAATAATTAACATATTGCATACATTCTTCCTAGTGGTTAACTGCTGTACAAGATGCGGACATGATATCCTATTTACAAACACCATTAGAACAAATTCCTCTATTCATTAAGAGAATGTAACTATATATCTATCCTAACCACTTTGAATACACAGATACAAAATGCCTCATTTTGATTAAATTAACATTTTAAATTTGGCTACAAGACCGCATAGGAGACACAGTATCCTGTTTTGTTATGTATGTATGCATGTATGTATATGCATATTTAGCTAGCAGTGCTGGGAACTGAACAATCTTACACATGCTAGGCAAGTATTCTACCACTGAGTTATATCCCCAGCTTGCTTTATTTTTTAATCACAATTTTATGTGTATAAGTTTTTAGGAATTAAAAAATATTTTCTAAATGTTTTAGAGTAGTTCTGAGAATAAAATAGGATGAGACAGTGAAAATGCAAATGACAAAGATAGATCTATCTATCTATCTATCTATCTATCTGATGGCCTGCTGGCATGCCTTAGTGATACTTGCCTAGCGTGCTCATGGCCCTGAGTTCAAACGCTGGCACCACACACACAAAAAAATGTGTTAAGACAAATACCAAACAAATATAATTGCAAGGGGGAGTCTATACAGTATAGACTTTACTTATATTAAAGTATAGACTATTCCTTATAGTAAAGATGTTACTTGCTTTAAATTTCCAGTTTTTGTTCATGGTAATATTTTTCTTTAGGTGTAATATACAGGTAACATGAAAATTATTTTTAAAATTGTTTATTTTTGACACTTATGATAGTAATCATGATACATATTCATAGAATTGGTAAAATCTATTATTATTGTATAATTATATATTGTATATTCAAATCACTCATATTTGTAGAATCATATTTACATAGCTGATAACAATTTGTATTTAATTTTTCAAGAATAGCTGTGGTTTTTTTTTTTAAAGTTGTACTCAGTTCTGTTTTGCATTTATTTATTTATTTATTTATTTATTTATTTATTGTGGAACTGGGGATTGAACTCCGGCCCTTGTGCTTGCCAGGCAAGCGCTTATTCTACTGAGCTATCTTCCCATTTATTTATTTATTTATTGTGGAACTGGGGATTGAACTCCGGCCCTTGTGCTTGCCAGGCAAGCGCTTATTCTACTGAGCTATCTTCCCAGCCCCAATAGCTGTTTTGATTTTTTTTTTTTGGCGGAACCAGGGATTGAACTCAGACTCTTACGCTTGCCAGGGAAGCGCTTATTCCACTGAGCCATCTCCCCAGCCCCAATAGCTGTGTTTTTAAAATAACTCTCTTAAGTGAGCTCTAGAAAGCTCAAGGGATGGTTTTCTTCGGAGAATATAAAAGTATTTTTCCTATAAATGGATACTTAAAAGAGCATGTAAGGTTCTGGAAAACATAATTTTAAGTGACATCCCTTAGTAAAGTTAAATTTATGGTATTGTTCATAGAATGGCCATAGGAGATAGCAGGCAATAACTAACTTTTTTTTTTTTTTTTTAAAGTTTTCACCATTTCATGCTTCAGTGCTGGCGTCCTGCTCCTATGATTTTACTGTAAGGTATAGTGGTTTAAAAATACTTTATCGTGATATACCATTTGCATCTTTGTAACTTTTCTGAAAGATAATGTATTTATTTTGCTAATAATATGCACATTTCCTGCCTTTTAATCCTCTTTTCCCTTGATTAATGTTCTCAGCCCACTCCATGCATCATATCTACCCCTATGTCTTCATTCATGGGCAGGACTTTCTCTTCTGGTGGTGGTTTTAGATCAGTGACAGGCCTGATCCCTGGCTCCTTTCCTTTCTGTTTTATTCCTTGCTTCCTAGATTGTACTTGATGTTCACAATGGCATATAGCTAGAGCAAATGGGACAGCTCACTGGTATTATTTTGTATTTCTTTTCATAGGTAATCTGAAGTACAGGTATGTCGAGGACGTGGCTTGTGTAGTTTTATTTGTTCTTGTTCTGTATTGGTTTATGTGAGGACACTCCACGAAGTTTGGATTTATATTGGCCTTACTGTGTCAGTTACCCAGCTCTCCCTTCTGCACTTCTGAGTCAGTATTTGATATGGGAGAACTATATAACTTTGTTTGTGTAAAATGTACTATTAATGGAACATATTAAAACAATGGCTTGAGAGAAATTACATGCCCTAACTTAGTTTTCTTCACTGATCCAATACAAGAAGGCAGACAGAGTAGGAAATATAATCACACTGGGCTCCTAGCCCTCAATTTAAAAGTATAATGTAGCCGGATTTGGTTTTGCTTATTTTGTTTTTAAGTAGGCTTTATAAAGTAGTAAGGAATAGAGGTTTTTAGCTTGGGAGCCAAAAAATGGTAACATGATAGACTGAAAGAAAATTTGACAGTTTCCCTCCATCTGCCCTACGCATTTCCAAAGTGGAACCGTGGAGCTGGACCACTGACTGGATGGTAGAGCTGTTAGTGTGGATTCAAAGACCAGTGGCTTACTGATAATTCAGTGTACAAGAATGTAAAGGGAGGTAAATACAAAGAAATCACAGCAAAAAGCTAATAGCATCGGGAGGGAATTAATGTTGGAAGAATGAAGGAAACAGCCCAAGAGCAACAAGGGGAAACCGCATTCCCTCCCTTGTCTGTCACATCAGTACAGGCGAGGATGGCCAGGCGGCAGATCCCTCAGATGGGATAAGCAGGATGCGATGGGAACTTGGACTCTTCTTGTGCATACAGTGTCGCTCATGAAATTAAAAGGGATTTCTGGATATGGAATCTAGTCCTTGGGTTTTAGGAAACTTTCTGGTGTCTGCTTGCCAGGATCCTTAACAAACTGAAGTATGTTATTGGTATTTTGATTATCCTGATTTTCATATACTCAGTTTAAATTGGGCTTTCTGATTTGGCTGTCTTATCAATCAAATCCATAGTAGTGTTTCGTTTCTGAGTAAAGGAAGAAACCTAGGGACTAGTCATGCTTTCTCTTTTGGAATTGTAACTGTGATCTTTATCTCACTTACTGTCCCAGTTACTTTTCTCCCATTGCAGAGACAAAATACCCAACATCCACAATTAAGGAAGGAAAGGTTTATTTAGCTCACAGTTTGTGGAGATTTTAGTCCATGATTAGCTGGCTTCAAGGCAGAGTGGCACATAGCGGAGGGCAGCAGTTCATGGCAGCTGAAAGCAGCACGAGCAGAAGGGAGGAGCAGTGGCTGCAGCCCAGAAAGTCTCTCGGCCTTCCTTAGGTTGCATTCAGGCTACCTGTGAGTGTAGCACTCACACCCATAATCCTAGCAGTGCTGACACCCATAATCCCAGCATTGGATCATGAACTAATCACCAACTCTGGAAGCTACCCTAGGACTGCAGGAGGCTTTGGGGACACACCTAGACATAACTCATAACACTGACCACTCTGTCTTACTTATGAGTGTAAGTACCCTTGAACAGACAGTTGGAAAGTGTCTTACTTTTGTAGATGGAAACTTGTCTCAGTTATATTTGATACAACTGGTTATGAACTGCACCCCTAAATCTTACAGGTACCAAACCATGCTCAGAAAGCTTGACTCAGTCTTACTTTTCCCCTTTCTACCTGTAAGATTTAGGCCTTGTGCTTTCCCGAGCGCTGAACAACGCTGCAGACTGGGAGATGGCTTGGGTCACGGTTCTTAGGTATGGTTCCGAGTCAAGTGTCAGAACTGTATGTGGAACAGTTAAGACCAGAATTAAAAATGAGAGATCTTTAATATTGGGTTGAAGAATATATTTGAATAAACTATTACCCTATAATTTAGAGCTTGGGTTTCTCTACACTTACAACCTTTTTTTTTTTTTTTTTTTTTTTTTTGGATACAATACAGGAAATATAGGGCCTCAAAAATTTTTTATTTTTTGGAGACAGAACTACTGAACTACTGGCTATATAATTTAGGCTGACCTTGAACTCACTGTGTACCTCAGGCTGGCCTCAAACTCATGGCAGTCCTCTTGCCTCATCCTCTCAAGTACTGGGATTATGGTGTGACCACCATAGCTGACACATCTTGTTTGTAGTGCCTCAGTGTCTTTTTGTGCAGTTACCTTGTTTATACAGTACTATAATTTTTGCTGGTTTTACATACAGTACTATAGTTTTATGTTCTGTTATACATTATAGTACTACATTTATAAGTTATACAAAAAGCAAAATCATCAATTTGGAGTTTCCTGTGACCATTTCTTTTCTTTAATTAATTTTTATTTTTTTGCGGAACTGGGGATTGAACTCAGGCCCATGAGCTTGCCAGGGAAGCTCTTATTCCACTGAGCCATCTCCCTGCCCCTGTGACCATTTCTTTGTTCTGGATATTGTAATATACATACTATAAACAATTCCTTATTAGGTGAGCAATTCCTTTAATGACCTAGTCTCAGGAATAGAGCTCAGCTGTTAAAGGAGGAATGCCTGTATTCAAAGTACTAATATCTAGCCTCGTGGACCCACAAGGTGGTTACAAAAGATACACCCCCAACCTTTACCTTGAGGCTACCTCTCAACCCATTCCCTGCACTTTCAGCAGAAGACCTTAGGCATTTTCTTTTTTAAAAAATTGTAGGATTCAAGCACAAATCACAGTTTCTATCCAAGCGCGTGAGTTCATCTGAATCTGTGCCTCTTTACTCTTCTCCCTTGTTTGAAACCCGTGGGCTGGATGCTCCTGTACGCTCCTTTGCCTTTGTGACTTTGTCCATGAGATGAGCTCTGGTCCTTCCTAGTCGTCAGCTTGCAACACCCTTGACTTTTTCCTTCACTGGCAGCATCTCCTCTGGTCCTATTTTCCCTTTAACCTTGTCTTCAGTTTCTCTTCCCGTCTTAGCCAGGCTTTTAGCATCCCCCAAGCAGAGGTTCAGCAGGGCCATTTTAGGGCCCTCAATGTCCCAGGCTGGTCTGCTTTGGAAGGCTTCCCCTCTATCATTGAACCTATGAAATGGGTCAAATCACTGATCAAGTAGAGTGAATTATATTGAAAAAGTCTTTATGCTTTTGCCTTTGAAATGCTTTGGCAGAGTGTCTTACTCATGACTGACTGATTTCTGGCAATCATTAAGCTTACTCAGGAATTCTTATGAAGTAAAAAGGTAACCTAGAAATTGTTTTCAAAGAAGTAAAATCTTTCTAAATATGAAATTTTTCAATTAATGTTAATTTTAAATTTAATTATTTTAAATTTTTAGCTCTGGGATGTTATGCCCCTGCAAGCATAGAAAAACGTAGGCCTGTAGTTGTGTCTCTGTTACTCCTAAACTCACACTGGCTTCGCCACTGAAACTGCTCTGATCAAAGCTACCACTGACCTCTGTGTTCCTCAGTCCAGCCCACTTGCCAGCACTTGCGCTAGCACTTGCTTTGTCAAACCTTCCTTCTGGAAACTTCCTTTTCCCTGGAACTTAATGTTTTTGCTTGTTTTTCTTGTTCTTTGATACTTTTTATGCTTTGTCCTGGAGTCTCTTTCTGTCCTTTGAGCTTGGGCACTTTCCATTGGTCTAGTGCTCTTTCACATATCCCGTCTAAGTGCTCATTCCCAACACCCCTTTCTCTGACTTCTTTGAGAACACATTTAGCTGTACGCTGGACACAAGCACCGGAGTGTTGAAACAGTATCATGTAATTCTGAATTCTTTATTTCTTACCTTCCTTTTGGGGTCTTCCTTATTTAATCTACCTGTTAGCTCAATTAATAGGAATATTATCTCTATTCAGAAAAGCCTAAAACCTTGAATACCCCTTTTTTTTATATATATATATAGTTAGTACAGGGTCTACAGGGTCTCACTACACAGGTTGGACTGATAGTGATCCTCCTGTTTTTCAGCCTCCTAAGCACTGGGATTACAGGCACATGCTACCACAGTCTCATCAGCCTAAATTGCAGGCTTAGCATGCCTCGGGGTTGGAGGGTTCCTCCCCCGCTCCACTGCCCACACTGCTTGCTGGGGATGGAATTTCCTTTAAAAAAAAATGGTGAATATTTTCCCAACAGGGAATAAAAATCTTAAGCCAAATTGCTTCCCAATGATTTTTAGAAATAGAGCTTTAACATACCTTATATTGTTTACCTCTGTACTACGTAATTCTGAATTCTTTATTTCTTACCTTCCTATAACTAGGCCTCTAACTGTATAGTCCAATATATGATTATCAAAGACTTTTTTTGTTTTGTTTTTAACTTTCTGCAAAGCTTTATTCCAGAGGGGCTAAGTCCTTCTTGGCAGCTGCCTTCCTCATGGCGGCCAGCATGTTGTTCAGCTCCTCTTGGAGTGGACGTGCATCCCCACCCTTTTCTTGATGAACTTGAGGGTGCATTTGTTCTTGGAGACCTTGAGCAGCTCCGTGGCGTGCTGCTAACAGGGAGCAAAGCTGTACACCTCCCGGATCATGTCCTGCACGAACTTGGGGTGTTTGGTGAGGCATCCACGACAGCGGCTGTGCCTTGCTTTGCTCACATTCTTAGATACCTTGTGGCCCTTGTTGAAGCCGATGGCCATGGGATAGCGGATGGCCATGGCTGCTGTTCTTCTGTGG